GCGGGGACGCGCCGCGCGCATGCACACACCACTGCGCACACTGAAGCCAGCCGCGTTGTGTCGTCTGAGGGTTTTTCAAGCTTAAGAAACGGGAGGGAAACGGTTCCGTGGAGCTGATAAGCTGTCCAGGCTCAGCCTCTCAGAAGGGAGCACCATTTGTGGGGTTTTTTCAATGCTTTTTCTGCATTAATGCGCCAGTCCCTGGAAAACCCGCAGAGTACGGCAAGAAAACCTTCCCTTTCCCTTCCCACTCCCAGCACCTTAGCACCCAGGCCGCAAGCACCCGCCGACGGGTGCCCCCCACGCACGGAGCTTTGCAGGGATTTCCGTTAAAGAAACGAGAGTTACGATCATGGCCGAGACCCCTCAAGGCGAGTCCCTCTCAGGTCTCCGTGCTGTCAGGAGGTGATCAAAAAAAGGTTTCGGATTGTTTCATACCCAAGGAGGGAAGAGAGCGGCTCGAGAGGCTTCCTCCTCCCGCCCAGCAGCCCGCGGGCCGCGCTGCCCCGTCGGCAGCGGTAGGTCGGGTAGAAACACGAGGTAGGCCTCCATCCCACGGCCACTCTAGCACGGCAGCTTCTGCGCGCTCTGCCTCCTCGCTGGGGCTCAGGGCTTAGATTTTCACATCTTCCTGGACACTGAGCTGCGAGAGGGTTTTCTTGATGCGGAGGGCCGTGAGCCGCGCCGCTCCGTTGGCGTACCAGCATTCCCGCATCATCTTCCCCATCACCCGCAGCGCCTAGACGGGAAACACAAGGGCAGGCGTCAGTCCCGCTCCCCTCGGATCCCGGAGAGCGTCTCCGGAGCCGCTCCGGGCATTGGAGGTGACTGTGTATCCGGGCTGGCGCTGACACCTTGTGCTGGGATTTGCGCCTTCAGCTTTTTAGCAAACCAGCCCTGCCTGTGTAATTTGTGTGAGCTCCCAGGGATCGTGACAGGAGGCCACTGCCACTTACAACAACGGCTTTCTAAGGGACAACACAGGGGAGAGGGCAATGAACTTCTTCCTGCAATTCTCTCCGGCAATCCAAGCGTGCCGGCCAAGCTGCTGCCTGGCTGCGGCGGATGCTGATACAACCCCAGGGCACTTCCTATGCCTGGAAGTCGGCAGCAGGACTTGCTTTTGCCCTGCCTTCTGGGTAGGGGCTGTGAAGATGGAAACAGATCTTACCTCGTAGCTTTGCCACCAGTTGGGGATGTTGGGCCGTAACTTCTGATCGCATACAACCTTCCGCATCTCCTCGATAGAGGGATCGGAAGGTACCAGGTCATAGTATGGAAGCTGATACTCCTCATGGATACCTACGGGAGAGAAAAGGGAAATGCAGTTCCTGGAGAACGGATCACCTCCGGAACACACTCGCTGAAGGCAGACTGATGCTGGTCTGGGCTCCATGACTCACTGCTGAGATGCGTCAACACTTTGCAATTGTTTAGAAGAGAAGGAAGAATGAGGGATTTGAGTTTGCAAGAAAAAAAAAGAAAGTTCAGGGAAATGGAAAGCAGCTGCCCAAACTGGAGCAGAGTCAGTGTGCTGCAATCAACACCTCCATCCCCGAGGAAGGGTCACGACGGAGCAGGAGGTGGCAGGGCTGTCACACCTACCCCAGAGCTGCGCCCTTGCAGCTGGATGTGCCAAGACACTAAGCTGGTACCAGAGCAGGGGAAGAGAGTTACTTACCAAACAGAACTTCCTGAAGATCTCTGCAGGAACTGCAGTCCCCTACCGCAGCATTTACCCCCACAAAACACCAAAGATTGGGAAAAACGGACGCTAACAGCACAGGCACACAGTGGCAATATTACCTCCTGCGTTGCACCTCCGAGCGATCTCCCAGTAGACCAAGCCCAAGGCATAAATATCCGCACATTTAAATGAATCAAAATGTTTCATGTTAATGGTTTCATCCAAGACTTCGGGGGCCATGTATCTGCACAACAAAAAAGGGAACATCATGTTATTTTTGAGAGGGGATTCCCTGGAAAATAATAAATGGCAGGTTTTCCCACACGGCTCTTCTTAAGAGGCAAAACTTGGTACTGTACAGCCTTAATCAGAACAGACCTGGGCCCAGTGGTCTAATAAAGTAAACAAAATAACTCTAAAATAATGAAAAAATGGCAAAAATGTCCAAAGTACATCAAGCTCCAGACAGTAAGTCCCCAAAGGCTTTGAGAACGCCAAGCTAGTTGTGAAATACCATGACACAGAGTGTGTGTAGCTGGTCTGCACCTCTCAATTTGACGGGACCCCGAGATGATGGCACTCGTGTCCCTTCAACACCAACTCAAGGCACGATTCTGACATTCACCATGACACTGAAGTGCTCCAGACAGGGAATTTCAGCAGTGCTCCCCCAGGAGCTCAGGCATTTGCTAGTCACACACCGATGCCTTCAAACCCTGACCAAGAACACCGTTCTCCCTACCGTTTGGTTCCAACCCTTTGATTTGGTGCAATATCAATTGTATCGGTAACAGAATCGTGCCGGACAGCCAGACCAAGGTCAGCGATGGCACACGTGCCATTCTTCTTCACCAAAATGTTCTTGGATTTCAAGTCTCTATGAGCAATCCCAGGCTTTCCTAATAGAGCAAAATAAAAAGCAGCAGGGGTCAAGGTATGGTGAAACCTGTTAGTCTCATTAGTGCAGAAGCAGTTACAGATTTCATGGCGTTAGTTAAACCCTCAGTCTTGCGACATATTTTCATTGTTTGGAGATACTTTAGCACTGAAGAAAAGAGCAAGTGCGGCCAGCCTGTGGTAAGCAGAGCCTCCATTTATGCTTCCAAGGTGCCGCTGATGCAGTAGCATTCAGGGGCCTCAAGAGGGACATGGATCCCTTCGTGCCAGGCAGCCAACACGGACGTAAGTTGCTCGTAACGCTGGCACTGCCTGCACCAACATCCCATCCAAGCAGCACCAGCTTTAGGACATGGATGAGAAACAGTGATGCAACTCCCAGGAGTTAGACTGAGATCAACCCATTTCACAGCCAGCCAAACAAGCAATTTTTCGCCAATACTGACTCAACCCAGATGAATCTGGGCTGATACAGCCAACGTTGTCTGTGCAGCACATCAGTCCTCCTCACCACTTCTGCTTTTCTCTCCCTTCAAGAGTTCACAGTATCTTTCCAGACTTTGCTCTTACCCTGAGTACCCACGATCTCCATGTGCAGATGGGCCAATCCGCTAGCAGCAGACAGGGCAAGTTTTATCATCCCCTCAATAGTCACCGTGTAGCGGTTAAGGTAGTCGAAGAGTGATCCGTGCTCATGGTAGTCGGAGACGAGCCACAGCTGGGTCCACGTTCCATTATCTGCAGTGAGAAAGAGAGGGTGCTCAGATGGGTGCAAACCAGCGGGCATTTCACATCTTATTCCACTAGTGAAGAACCTCTGCCCTCACCACCGAGACCCGTTTTACCTTTGTTATCCGCAGCAATAAACCCCAGGATGTTCTCATGCCGCAGCATAACGGTTTGGTAGATCTCTGCCTCCCTAAACCAGGAGCGCTCCTCGCGCGAGGAGAAGATTTTCACGGCTACGTCGCCCCCGCGCCACCGGCCACGCCACACCTCCCCGAAGCGGCCCTTGCCAATGATCTCCTGCAGGACGATAGTCCGGGCCACGGTCCGCTGGACAAAGAGCGGCAGACCTAGGGACAAGAAATGGCAGATCTGAGCGCCTGTCACAGCAAAGGAAACGACTGAAAACCCAGAGTGTGAAGTAGAGCGTTTATCAAACCTAGAACGTTCTACAATTGATAACACTCAGCAGCCTAAGCAAGACCCAAAATAGAAAATGGCTCCTGCCTCTGTGTAGGATGTGCCATTTGGCTGTTTGGGCAGCATCTGCATATCACTTTGAAGTAGCTTGCAAACCTCTAGCGATTAGGTAGACAACAGTTGGGGAACTTCTGCTCTGTGGAAGATCAAAGAGACTTTAGCCTGAATACGTAAGGAGTGGAACTCGCTGCAGACAGACTGTGCTGAAGACAGTCAGCAACCCCCAAACTTCTCCTAAGAGAAAGGAGTCCTAGCGTCACTGCTACCTCTTAGGTGACTTAGAGCTTAGAGCTAAGACTTCCCACTGGGGATGCAGCACTGAAGGTTTAATGGCCTGGAAGCCAGGGAATTGAGTTAGGGGTCACCGTTCGTTATTTCCAGTCATATCTTAATACCTGAGCCAGAGCCAGAGGTGGAGAGATCATAGACTAGATCTTGCAAGGTCTTATCCTTCGACAGGCACATCTCACAAGAGGGATCTTCCATGTCCAACCGCTGCCGATTGTGATAGACTCGTTGATGGTGGTGACAAACAAGGACCACTATGATCATGACAACAAGCAAAAGGAAGATGGGTCCAGCAGTCACTGCCACCAGCTCCACAGGACCCCAGCTCGACTGGGGTTCGTTTTCTTTCAGGTGCCCTTGGGAGGAAGAAGAGGAAAAAAGAAAAAGAACGATTTAGAAGTGCATGACTCCTTTGCATATATTCTTTAAGGACCTTCTTGTATTTCAATTATCCTCCTGGAGCCAGATTACTGCAGCTTGCCATTCCAGGACGGTAGAGGGCATGGCAAATAACAGTGTTAACACGGGGCTCATCAGCTCATCATGCAAACTAGAGTTAAAATTCCCCAAAAGAGCTGGTGCTTCAATCCCCAAAAGAGCAGGCGTTCCAGCAGCACTATGTAAACCAGGATGGGAGCTGACTCTGCTAGAACAGCCTGTATTTCCCTTCCCACTTGAACTCCAAGTGGGAGAAGCAGCCAGCTTTAAGGAATCATTCCTCCCTCTTCCTCTTCTGGCCTGTAACAAGCAGGGAAGAACAGCAAGGCAAATATTTGACCTTTTAGGACGAGCCTGACCCTCTATGGCCCCCAAGTAAACTGGGTCTCGGACACACTAAGTAACAGCCTACAAATGGAGAGGGAAGCACGAGGAGGAAGCGCTGCAGGGCTCCTTGGGCCCCAGAATTAGGAAGAAGCAGCGTTTTCCCACACCCTGGCTGGCAGGCAGGGCTGCCTCCTCTTTGTGCATTTAGCATTCGGGCACCCGCTGCTCCGCAGAGGCTGCTGCAACGCGCCCGTGCTCGGGGCTTCTCCTAAAGAGGGTGTTTTTCACTCCCAAAGGAGGGGAAGCGATTCCGGCAGACACAAGGGAGCCCAAAAGGAGCCGGCACGCGGCGCGGAGCTGCAGGAGCTGGCGCAGATGGACACGGTGCTGCTCTCAGGAGCAGCAGGACGAGAAGGTGAAAGGAGGCTCCTTAGCGCGGAGCTAGCCAGGGCAGGCAGAAAACAGCCAAAGTAAAACCCCAAACTTGGGAAGCTTCTGCCCTGAAGTGTAACCACATCATTTGGTGACATTTTGACTACCACAGGGGAGTTTGAGCAGCCTCCTGCTTTCAGCTGGAGTGGTTACATGTTATTTCCACTCTACAAAACCAGGAAATAAACAGAGTGCTCAAGTTCACACGGCAACCTAAGAGAAGTGAAAGCAGAACCAAGAGGTCCTCGTTCCCATCCCAGACAGACAACTTCCCCCCACTTCAAACAGACAGAAAATTTATTTAGCTCTTTACTCACCACTGGGAACCATTAAATCGATTTTGTTGCAGAAATCGGAGTAGCAGCAGTGAGTATTGCGTAGGTCTTCTGAACTCAGGCAGTAGAAGGGTTTCCCAGCAGGAACCAACTTCGCCTCGGGAATGCAGGTCCGAACGTGATGCTCGACGCCGTCCAGGTTGAAGACCGACACCATGCAGGCACCGTCCGTTTCACAGGTGGAATTGGCTTGGTTGCAGTTGGAGCACAGACATGTCAAAGCTGCAGAAATCAAAACAAGACCCTTGAAAACCTCCTGGAGACTAAACGTGCAAACGAGAAAACTTTGTTCTTTGAAATTCTCACTTTGGTTGGGACGGGCTATTTCCAGCATCAAGAGGAAAGGGCTTTAATAGCAGGACTAGTAATATTTGGTATCTTGGACAAGTGAGAACTCATGGAACCCAGCCTAAGCACAACAAAATCCAGAAGGTGCTTATCCACACAATCCTTCTTGCTGCACCCACCGAGATCACCAGAGCCACTGCTGCAAATTAAGCTCAATCTTACCAAGATCCACTCCCAATTCAATCCAGGGTGGGAATCTGAGTCAGTCTGGAGGAAGAGCAGGGGGGTTCAGAGCAACCAACCCACTTCACCTGCGCTCCCCCAGCCAGGGTTTTTCACCGTGCCCACGACAACCCCACGGGGCAGATTCCTTAGTGCCCCTTTCAACTCACATGAGACAACCACGAGCCAGGAGATGCCAAACCAAATCTAAAGGAACTGCAAGCCGAGCGTGCTACACCCAACTAGATCAGCCACTTCTTTAGTGACTGCTTTCCTGATCCGAGACACTACCTTGGGTCAAATACGCTCCTGGCATTTTGCCTGCTCTCCATGAAGAGCAAAGGAGAAACTCCAAGACAGATTCCCACATTTTTCAGCCTTCCAGCTGTCACTGCGCCTCTTCCCAGGCTGCCTGGAAAAGGAGCTGCGAGCGGGTCCCGAGGCATCGCCGTGCTCGGGAACAAAGAGCCACGCAGCGGTGTCAAGAAGGGTGGAGCTTGCTCAGCAACACGCAGCATTTTCTTCGGCTTTCATCAGACCTTTCAGTCTCCCCAGAGGGGTTCAGAAACATGTACTCACCTGCCGCAGAAATGGTCTTTCGGGTAGGAGTCTGAAGCAGTGTTTTAAGAGATAAAAACACCACTTAACTCTTCCCCCATCCAGTAGCCAAATCCTCTAATTCCGCTTCTGCTCTTCAGCCTAGGGGCACCCACGGGGGAACCACGTCGCTGTCCTGACACACGCGCCCGTCACCGTCCCGGGAACGCCGGAAAGGCAGGGCCCGCGGTGCCGGCAGCTCCGCATTCGACACGCACGGACATTCAGGAATATTCACGGCACGGAAAGCAGCTTTCCCTCCCTGCGGCACGGCGAGCGGAGCTGGGTGGCCGGGGACTCGTCACCACCGGCTGGATGGAAAACATCAGCTCTGCCCAACCCTGGGGCAGCCCCGAGGGGAAGGCGCCCATCAGCCCTTATCTCCAGCGGCCTAGATAAATCAGGTAGGTTAATTACATTTCCACTCACTTAGCTCTCTCTGGACACCGTGTTCCTTGTTTCCTAGCCCTTGGGAGCTGCAGGATTCGGACAGGCTCAACGCAGATGGGCTTTGAACCAACACATTTAAGAGCAAAAAGCCCATGAAAGGCAGAAGAGCATCACGAGCAAACAGAGCTTATGACCACGCGCTTGACAGGCTGAAATCCGCAGTCTACTTCCAGCATAAATCCATTATTTCTATCCTTGGGATAGGAAAAGAACAGGAAAAACCTCAAGACTGAACTCTGCTGAGAAGGGCTACGAGAGCCATGGATTTGGAAGGGAGGATCCGAGATGGGAGCAGCGCTGCTGCCGTCGCGCTCGCAGGGCTGAACGCGCCGCGCGCCTTCCCGCTCGGCGGAGCGGAGAGGGCAGCTCTGGAAAGCAGGCACACTTGGGGGAACAAAGGTTTGTTATAATGGAGCTGTTATGAAAACACCAGAAAGGAAAGAGCAGCCAGGGCACATTCCAGCCTTCAAGTACGGTTAAAAGGAAATATTATTTTGAAGCATCTCCTTTATTAAAGCTTTATCTAAACCCTCAAAGCATGAATTAAACACGTTTAAGCCGCACACCTTTCACCACGAATGCTCTTTCCGACTTGCTTTAGACACAGCAGAACTCTGTTCCTGCCAGTCTCATTCCAAAGTTCCCAAGCCCAAACCCGAGGCTCCGGCTGCTGCGCCTGCGGACGCTCACAAGCGAACACAGCTCCTCAGTGCTCTAATAAACGTGGTTTTGTAAACTCCCTTTCATATCTGGGCTGAAAGCAGGCATCCTTTCAGGCATGAGCGCAGAGGCATTGCTTGTACCTTGCTTGTACCTACTTAGCTTCACTCGCAGTGTGAAGAATGAGTTTAGCTGCAAGGGATGATACCAGGACCCGGGGCCCGGCTCGCAGAGCACAGAGATCCTTATCTGCTCTGCGGAGAACCCGGCGCTTCCCTCCGAGGAGGGGTTTGTCCCGCGGCGCGTCCTCGTTTCACCTCTTGCTTTTGCTGGCTGTTAGACCTGGCTGATATGCTCTGCCTTTGAGACAAACGTGGTTTTGCTGCTTCTGGAAAGCAGTGATTTTTAGCTTTGCACCTCTCCTTGTCCCTAAGGGGAGCAGGGTGAACAAAGCGGATCAACATGCGGGAGCAGGGCAGGACACTGCACCGTCCACGGGACCCTCAAGGGCCACACTGGAGCCCTTCATCTCTGGGCTGCAGGAACAGGCCCAAATCTGGGGCAATTCCCATCAGGCGGGACCAGGAGCGCCATTCCCATGTCCCTCCGCAGTCCCCTCCTCCCTGTCCTCGCCATGGAGCAGCCCGGCACATGAAGCGAGAAACACCCGGAGCAGATGGCCAAACCTGCCAGGGCAAGAGCCGGCTTCCTGCTCACGGAACGGCGCG